GTTGTTCAATTTTAACAAAATTTGATATAAACATATAAAGTGATATGAACTTTCAATCTAACGGTTGGATTTACAAAATTCACATTTAATATAAGATTATTAAGCGGTGTAATACTTAGTAAAAGTTACACCAGTGTTATTATAACCTTTCTCATTTTAAAATATATAAATTATTATTTAAACTTTTAAATTTATAATAAATAATTTAAATTATATCATAATATTAATTTTAAATAGAAATAAGTAGATTGTTAATTATAAAAGTAAGTATATATATAAATAAAGATTAATTAAATATAATATTATTATTATTAGTAATATAATTATTATACATATTATTATATATTTATAACGGTCCGGATACACCAAAATGAGAAGGATCTAAAGAAAGTATAAGTATGAGATTGGATAGTTGAGGATGACTTAAATAAATTAATTTGTACTACTTATACTAACAACATGCATCTGCTTTTCGGTAGCTGATCTCATCAGAACTTCACAATTTAGCGTGTTTGACTTGAAGTAATATAGGGATGGATGACCTTTTGGGAGGTTTCCAGAAATTGTGTAATTATGGATTAAATGAATTAATTTGTACTACTTATACTGATAAAATGCATTAGCTCTTCTGTAGCCTATCTCATAAGAACTCCACAGTTAAGCGTGTTTCACCTGGAGTAGTATAGGGATGGGTGACCTTCTGAGAAGTTTCCCAGAAAATGTACAATAAGGACAAAACATGTTGAAAAGTGAAGTGTAATGAAATGTGACGTCTATAAAATTTAACAAAATAAAAAATAAATATTTAGCAACTGATTTATTCGGTCACTAATTTGGTCCCATACACTTCAGGGACCAAAATCATTACAACCATTTTGTGACAAAAAATTTTTCTGTCGCTAAACAGCTTTGCGACCAGGGTTTTAGCAACTGCTTAAATTCGATTGCTAAGGTAAATAGCGACCGATTTTAGCAATTTAGCGACTGATTTTGGTGGTCGCTAAATGCCATATTTTTTGTAGTGAATTGAATCCCCAGCAACACCTGATCAAGTTACCTTTTCCTTCAAGACAAGCATAATTCTAAGCTTGGAGGAGTTGTTGATAATGTAAATTTTTACTTATAATTATTGATCATATCACATTAACAAAATAAAATTTTCTTTAGTTTTGAACTTGCTCTATCCTCCTTTTAATGATTTTTTGAAATTAATTTAAATTTGATTACCATCATTCAATTATATCACTAATCCCTATTTTTTGTCTCACATTTGATCAGGAAG